AACCGCGCTCCCGATCATTGCGAACGTTTCTATTAATGCGAGTCTCATTCTCACAACGCCCATGTTTCTCGAGAACGGGACCCATGACGTTTTTTGTGAAAACCTCGATTCTCGACGCGCCTGAACTCGGTGGCCAAGCGGAAATCCTCTCTATTGACGCGGAGTGCCATCAAATATTTTTGTTTCCCATACCTTGCATCATTTATCCGCGTCACCGAGCCTTGGATTCGTTGCTCGTCAGGCGGAGCGTCGTGGGACCACAACAGGTGCATCGCTGGGACACTACTCAGGTATCGCCCGACAATGACTCCTCCATAGGTCGCGAGAGGGGGCGCTTCCCGTCAACTACGATTCGGGAAGAGGCTTTCTCGAATCGTCAGGAGACAGCCCCTCTCAGCTCGATATGATCGATTGAGGCCCTGATCACATGACCGGATGTGCGACTTGAGAAAATACTTACAGACCTGAAGCAATATATTGACTAGGAGGAATCAGATGGGGCCTCACCTCTCGCATTCAGGTCAGAAACTCACCAAAGACCCCCAGCCGAGCGGTGGTCGGGGACCAAGCAGAATTCCGGCTCTTCCCCACAATGCTATTCGGGGGATTCCCAACATTCTGGATGCTGAACGCGGAATCGCCGCGCAATCGTCCGCCGAAGCTCCGAGCGGGCCCCGTTGAGCGAATTATACAGATAACGAGACCTCTGATTCATGCTTCGAATCTCTCGAGGAGCCAGCCTCGTTTATTCCGTGGTCCTCCCATCAACTCGAAGGGAATCGAAATACAGTCCTTCGCGATGACCGGAAAGTGAAGATATCGAGAACCATGACCATCTTCGGGACGTTCGAAGCCGATTTGCTCGGTGCCCTCTCCCCGGGTCGAGTCTAAAGCTTCCGGCCCCTTATCACCCCACCACCTTCCTCTGGCCTCCTTAATTCAAGGAGCGGTTGATCATAATGAAGCCGTATAGGAATTCTGACATAGGATTCAGTCTCCATTGAGGGGAAGTCATTTTACGCGATCCCTGTTTCCACATCATGCTTAAGTCGTGTTCGCGGACGTGGAACTCTGAGGTCGTCAGCTCGGGTACGTCCATGATACGGTGGGGACCCTGGAAGGGACATCTCCCAACGGGAACCCTCCTTATGGGACGGAGTTCGCAGTTTCCGTGCGAGTGGGGACGATCCGAGAAGCCCTCAGAGGTAGAAGCGAGACTCTGAGAAATCGAAGTCTCCGCAGTAGAAGGCGCGAGAAGAGTTATTCTTGAACAAGGGAGTCGTCAGAATGAGCGCGCCGTACGAAAACACGCTGACCACGGCGGGGAGGACACCGGAATAGCTCAAGCTCCTCGTTCCGCCCAGTATTCTCACTCCGCGAGAGTTCGCGTGCTCTCCGAAGATGAACTTCTCGTCGGTGCGATTGCTTCGCAGCAACGCTCTCCTGAGGCGGATCCTCCTCTGAGACATAGAAGCTTTTATATTTTCTCCAAGTATAACCAGGGACACCATCGGAATAGATACGCATAAGGTCCGCGTGATTATATGGAGCGACAGATCGCACCTCGCGAGCAAAGCTAAAGAATTCGTCACGGCGAGCTTCGCAGCGGCGGAGAACACTAACCAGTCCTGCGTTCCAGCGAGCCTCGCGTTCACGGCTTCCAATAGTTGACAGGTTTGTCCGTACGATCGATGGTTGACCCTTTCGGGTAGTTTTCTCAACCTGAGATT